CAATTTGGTATCGAACCAACATCACGTTGATTCTGGTGGGAGAGTAGTGTAGTGGCATTGGACAATAGCCACACAATCCACAAAGCTGTGAACACGAGACTACTCAGAAAATAGATATTCAATATTTAACTCGGGGAAATACCTAAGAATGGAGAAGGCGCGGAGAATGAATTGAATGGACTGGGTTTGATCGGATGGCATGGCTCGTCCATGCAGGCGTGGTCCATCTCAATGTTACTTTATATCTTCTATTCATATTAAATATATTGTTCTTTCTCTAGCCTAACCTTGTTCTACATCATGTATTGGTAATTGATACGATACAGTGAGTTGGTGTAGTCGATGATGTGACTTCCACGTAAGATCTTATAGATTAGGCAGTTATATCATGACAAATCTACAAATTTAGGATTAGGTCTATTATTAGAGCAGTACTAATATCATAGTAGACCCGAATTCTACAGGTATTCTCCGTGTATTAAAGGATCTTGGATTCTCCCTTGTGTACTTTGCAGCATAATGCTGCAGAGACTGCTTCTACACTAGTTGTCTTCATCTGCATTCGTTCGTGTGTGTGGGCAGAAGGGCCGAATTATCTGTAAAGTCAAAATGGTCTAGTTGCATCCAACATATCCTTTGTGTTTCGTGCTTCCCTCAGATGTCGAGGTCTTCATAATTCAGTCAATCACCTGAAGAACTAGGAAGGGAGAGAGTAGGCAGCTTCGTCTGACTCCAGTCCTCATCTAGAATACTTCTGTCAGCTATGCATGACTTCGCATCGTAGTCCTTCGTATGAATTCTGGATGATATTGACGATTTTCCCAGGAACACCATAATGTCGAAAACATCCCATAGTATTCTCCTATCCGTGCTGTTAAACACTTTCTCACAGTCAAGGAGGTCGATGTGTAGTGACGAATTCAAAAGTAATCCTTAGTGTCGCGATTTGTCTGTCCACGACTGATCCTTACGGAATCCAGACTGCTGATCTCAAAGCTGGATGTCTACTGAATCTTTCATCCGGTTCAGAAACACTCTGTTGGAAACGTTTCCTAGCACTGACAGTAGTGTGATGCCTCTGTAGTTCTCACACTTCTTCAGATTTCTTTTCTTTGGTGTCTTGATGAGATGTCCTTCTTTCCAGTCCGTCAGCACTTGTTCTTCCTCGCAAATCTTCATGGATAAAACGTGGAGCATACTTGCAATTACTTCTGTGTCTGACTTGATTGCTTCAGCTGGTATATCGTGAGGTTTTGGCCATCCTCATTCCTTCCGTCGTTGGTGGTGTGACATCCATAGGAAGGTCTGTTTGCGCTACTTCGATGTCCAGTGGATTCAATGGAGCTGGGTTCAGTGGGGAATGTTTGTTTAAGAGTTCTTTAAAGTGTTCTGCCCACCTGTTTCGTTGTTCCTAAATCTAAGTAACTGACTTGCCTTCTTTATACTTGACCGCTTTGTCTGTCTTACTACTCTTCCCTGCCCGCTTCTTTGTTGTGTCATGTTATTGTTCCATATTTCCTTCTCTTGCAACTTTTCCCGATGTCGTTGTTAGCTCTTCCACATATTTCTAATTGTCTTCTCTAATGCTTCTCTTCACTTGCTTGTTTGCTTCCGTGTATTCGGCCTGTACCTTGACTTTTTCTGCCCTTGTCCGACTGTTTCTAATCGATGTTTCCCTGTTCTTCCTTTAATGAATCTTGTCCAGGGTTTTCATAGAGATCCGTTACCAATAGTGATGCTTCTTGAGACCCAGAACCTCCTGACACGTTGTGGTTAACTCTCCTTTGATGCCTTTCCGGTTGTCCCCCATAGTAGTTTCTTCTTCTCTGAGTAGATCCTATAAGGCTTGGAAGCTGTCGTTGAGAGCTATCTTGAATACGTTGCGTTTGTTAGTATTTCATAGGAAGGATGTATTGAACCTACCTAATGCTGTTTCCCCAATTACCCAGTGTTTCTTTAGCTGCAGGTGGTGATCTGAAGCTGTCATCTCCCCTGGTTCTCACGTCTTCCACTGACCTTGTGAATTTCTTATTGATGCAAATATGATCTATCTGATTCTCCGTAGTGCGATCGAGTGAGATCCATAAAGCTTTGTTTATGTGGTTATGTGGGAATATTGTGTAGCCTATAGCCAGTTTATTGAATGCACATAAGTTTGCAAATTTCTCCCCATTTTCGTTTCTCTCTCCTAGTTCATGTTGTCCCAAGGTATATTCATACTCGGTGTTGTCCACTGTGACTTCGGTGCTTAGGTCTCCCATCAGGACCGTTTATTCTTTTCCTGACTACTTTTCTATGATCGACTGCAGACTCTCGTAGAAATTATCTTTATCTTCGTCGTTATCAGTGGTTAGTGCGTAATATTGGATATCATTCAATTTCATTCCCTTCTTATTTGTTTTGAACGATGCTTTGATGATTCTGGGTCCACAAGATTCCCATCCTATAAGTACATTTCGTGCATCATTAGATAGCATCAGAGCAACTCCCTGAGTTTGTGGAGCATTTCCGTTCTTGGGACCAGAGCACAATAGCATCTCTTCCGAATCTGACCTCTTTTGTCCAACTTTGGTCCGATGAATTTCATTGAATTCCGAGCACCGACAAGTTGTATATCTCCATTTCCAAAGCCGTGTAATTGGGAATCCCCATCTCTCACGTTGTTCGGACATTTGATGTACCTACCATTATTTGTTGCTCTGATTGTTAGCAGGAAGGTCATCGGCCTTCAACATTAGGCGTTATAATTCTTTTGAATGAAAATCCTTCAACTCACAGGACAGGCTTAAAATGGTTCACATTGTTTAATTTGATTGGCGTTTTTAGCAAAGTGTTGTTCCACTGGATGGGGATGCTAAACATATGCCAACCCTCCTCCTTTACTTGGGCTTGTAACCGGCAGTAGCCCCAGCAAATCCACAAGCGGAGATAGAGAGAAGGATATAATGTGGTAAAAATGGAGTATGCTTACCTGCTACCGAGTGAATTTGCTGATTTCAGCTTCTACCTGTTCAAATAAGTTCAATTATTTCCCATTTTTATTTAAAATTGTCATATACATTCTTTTTGCGACAATTCACTCATTGTCCAACTTTTCAGAGGTCGAACTTGTAGGTTTTCCGCAGCTCCTCACATTCAGATAGATATTCCTTTCGCTTGACATTTGAGTACCATCTCACACGATGACCGGAATCAGTGCCTTTCAAGGGTATTATTGCTGAGAGAGTGGCCCGCCTCTCCATCAAATGATGGGTCTCAAACTTCGACTGCCCTTCAATTGCCATGACAGATCACGGGTACTAATTGGTTTCTGGAACCTTCTACGCTCTAACGTTTTATTTGAGAAATATTATACTGATGAATGCATAAATTATGAAGAAACTAATCACAAGGACGAGTCTCGCAAGTACGGCAAACACGCAACACTTGAGAAAGTGGAGAAAAAGAAACAAATGTACATGTTTTATAAAGATCTAATACATGTTGCTGATAGACTGGTATGCTTCGATCACCTTTTGAAAGGTTAAGGATGAAGAATTCCTGGTTCAACTAAACATCAGGAATCAAGCAAACAATAGAAATTTGACATGTGCTCCTAATAAAGTGTTGGAAGTGCATATTACAGACAAATGAGCCTCGATAGGCCAATCAATGCAGAGCTCAGTACAAATATGCATGTATATGCTCAAAATACAAAAGTCTTCATATGATTTTAGTGTTGCAATGTTTCGTGTGTTTCAGCAATCTGCAAATGACTAGCAGACAACCTACGCTCCTAAACTTCGAAAAATAAAATCGAATTTTCCGAGTTTGTAAACTATTTCAATGTTTCCCGACAGATAATGTAGATCTGAGGCAAGGCTGCGACCGTGTTGTGTGTGCGTTGTGTACTAGGTGAGCAGGTAGAGTAGTGTGAGTGGAGTCGTCTGCAAAGTAGAGAAACAGGAACGAAATGTGACTTGACGACCCAGCAAGCACACACAATGCACTTACTTTCAATAAGAACTCTAACGAACAATAATCAGTAAGAACACAAGCCTCAGATTAATACAATCTGGGAGTCGAAACTAGTAGCCGATAGTTTAAACTGCTACAATGCACTTTACTTGATTCGGTTGGGCAGCGAGGTTGAATTACTGGTTCATATAAAAAACAGCGTAGCTCAAAGCCTACTACACAAACTTGTCAGTAACCTACATAGTTATCGAAAATATTAAATCCTACTAATCAATGCAACTCTAAAGAATTCCCGAACGGTTGGTTTCACATAGTTCTCTTGGTAGTTGGTGATATACACTGAAAAAAATTAATAACATGAAGTGATACATTGCAAATGATTCTCGTTCACCTTATGACCATGTTTATACATAGCGACAATCACTAGTCAGACAAATGCAAAAGTATTTAACAACTCTTTGTAGACAATGTAAGAAACTGCACACACATTCTTCCGTCGATTGTGACCTTGCACGAATTCGGTTACGCTCAGTAGCCACACCTGTAGCCTGGCACGATCTCGGTATTATTCCGATACCACGAGGTCGCCAACAAATACATCTCGACTACAGTAATCAACTACCTTCTGATATTTGGCCTAGGGGGGGGCCGTCTAAAAGGAAACAAAATAGCACACCAAGGCGGTATATATGCACAGTTTATCCAAGAGAATAGGAAATATCAGAAGGCTCTTCATATTAGTCAACCAACCAAAACACCGTTTTATGTTTCCGGCTTATCTAACGTCACTAACATAGTTAATGTCAACAACGAGTGTAAAGTGAGTCAAAAATAAAGATACTCAACATTCAACAAATAACATCGACTAAATAAAACCTAGGGAGTCACTGAAAATGGTAGTGGAGCGGTGAAATAGTGGTCTAAGCACTCAAATTACAGACAATACATAACAGGTTTGGATCCTGCTCCATCTAATTTCATCTGGGCATGATAACCATGAGTAAAAAAACATCACGTTAGTAAAACAATCACAATTAACATACTTGATCTGGTTCCACATGAACACTCAATACTGATGGCTTCTCATTACAAGTTCTAGTCAGAAGCTCCTGTCGAGCCAATTCGCACTTCCTTAGATCTCTGCATGCCATTATAACGCGGGCCCCACGGCGAGCCAACTCATCCACCGTTTCTAATCCAATACCAGTATTGCATCCCGTAACAATAACTGTTTTACCATCCAAACGATCTTCAAGAGTACACTCACAATGACCGAAGTATTTTCTCTTAATGATATACAATGTACTAACAGCAACAACAATCCACATGTACGGACATAGGAAACATACAGAAACATAAGAGAACAACTGATCCATCCTCAAATTTGTTCTTAAAACTGAAACAGAAACTCAATTATCTATATTCACTTTCAAACATGTAACGTAAACATAGTTTATACAACAAACAGACAGGTTTCGAGAATACTTGGACTGATTGCTCGATTGTCGTGTCTATGTTAAATGATTCAAACTTCTAGATTGGTCCTCGTCAATTCAAGCCCCGTGTCACCTAGACGAGATATTTATCTACCAGCTAAAGAACCAGCTTAACCCATAGCACTTCTTTGTGCTGCTTAATTGGTGTGAGACGTGGTCACCAAGAACAGAGGATATTTCTAGGTTACTAGTAATTGACCACAGATGTCTTCGAAGCACCTATGATGTATTTTGGGATAACTGACTGAGAAATCGTGGGGTTATGTGTAGGCTACCAGGCAAGATGGTAAACCCATCGATGAGGTAGTGAAATTCCACAGATTGAGGTGATTGCAACACACTTTACGTATACCTAGCCACCACCTACCTCGGTGAGTGATTTTATCTGACGCAAGAGTAGACTGAGAGAAAGCTAAGGCCCACCACAAGGCGTAGCACACTTCTACGAAGTCATTGACAACTGGGACTGAGTTATGTTGAAGGGTTTAGGATACTTGGTTGGAACCTATGCGATCACTATGTTAATGCAGTATGGCGACTCGAACCGATGCACTGACGTACCAGGTATTGCGTCTCACAATACCGACTAGCTGACAGCCCTATTTAAAGGAGGCAAAACTGTAGATGAACATTTATATATCCACCAACAATCGATCCACTAGACCTTAAACACATGATTCGAAAAGTAATCCAAAATCATACTCAAAAACATGCGATTTTCTTATCACATTGATGGGCTGGTTCGAATATGTTGAACTAGGCAGTAGTTGATATAAGTTAATAAATAACTAAATGGACATATATAATCTGAAACATCAGATCAATCAACTCGACTAACTAACAACATAAATTACTGAGTTGTATATCTGCCTGTTTCTGACAGTCTTCATATTATGTGTATTACGTTGGAGCCTCTGAAAATTTCTAGCTGATATTTAGGCCTGATGAACAACAGGAATCCATGTTGTCGAGTGTCGAGAAACTGCCATTGAAACCTACTGATAGGCCTCGATCGCCTTTTGAAAGACAAATGAGCCTCGATAGGCCAATCAATGCAGAGCTCGGTACAAATATGCATGTATATACTCAAAATACAAAAGTCTCCATATGATTTTAGCGTTGCAATGTTTCGTGTGTTTCACCAATCTGCAAATGACTAGCAGACAACCTACACTCCTAGACTTCAAAAAATAAAATCGAATTTTCTGAGTTTGTAGACTATTTCAATGTTTTCCGACAGATAATGTAGATCTGAGGCAAGGCTCCGACCGTGTTGTGTGTGCGTTGTGTACTAGGTGAGCAGGCAGAGTAGTGTGAGTGGAGTCGTCTGCAAATTAGAGAAACAGGAACGAAATGTGAGTTGACGACCCAGCAAGCACACACAATGCACTTACTTTCAATAAGAACTCTAACGAACAATAATCAGTAAGAACACAAGCCTCAGATTAATACAATTTGGGAGTCGAAACTAGTAGCCGATAGTTTAAACTGCTACAATGCACTTTACTTGATTCGGTCGGGCAGCGAGGTTGGATTACTGGTTCATATAAAACGAAGCGTAGCTCAAAGCCTACTATACAAACTTGTCAGTAACCTACATAGTTATCGAAAATATTAAATCCTACTAATCAATGCAACTCTAAAGAATTCCCGAACGGTTGGTTTCACATAGTTCTCTTAGTATTTGGTGAGATACACTGAAAAAAATTATTAACATGAAGTGATACACTACAAATGATTCTCGTTCACCTTATGACCATATTTATACATAGCGATAATCACTAGTCAGACAAATACAAAAGTATTTAACAACTCTTTGTAGACAATGTAAGAAACTGCACACACATTCTTCCGTCGATTGTGACCTTGCACGAATTCGGTTACGCTCAGTAGCCACACCTGTAGCCTGGCACGATCTCGGTATTATTCCGATACCACGAGGTCGCCAACAAATACATCTCGACTACAGTAATCAACTACCTTCTGATATTTGGCCTAGGGGGGGGCCGTCTAAAAGGAAACAAAATAGCACAACAAGGTGGTATATATGCACAGTTTATCCAAGAGAATAGAAAATATCAGAAGGCTCTTCATATTATTCAGCCAACCAAAACACCGTTTTATGTTTCCGGCTTATCTAACGTCACTAACATAGTTAATGTCAACAACGAGCGTAAAGTGAGTCGAAAATAAAGATACTCAACATTCAACAAATAACATCGACTAAATAAAACCTAGGGAGTCACTGAAAATGGTAGTGGAGCGGTGAAATAGTGGTCTAAGCACTCAAATTACAGACAATACATAACAGGTTTGGATCCTGCTCCATCTAATTTCATCTGGGCATGATAACCATGAGTAAAAAAACATCACGTTAGTAAAACAATCACAATTAACATACTTGATCTGGTTCCACATGAACACTCAATACTAATGGCTTCTCATTACAAGTTCTAGTCAGAAGCTCCTGTCGAGCCAATTCGCACTTCCTTAGATCTCTGCATGCCATTATAACGCGGGCCCCACGGCGAGCCAACTCATCCACCGTTTCTAATCCAATACCAGTATTGCATCCCGTAACAATAACTGTTTTACCATCCAAACGATCTTCAAGAGTACACTCACAATGACCGAAGTATTTTCTCTTAATGATATACAATGTACTAACAGCAACAACAATCCACATGTACGGACATAGGAAACATACAGAAACATAAGAGAACAACTGATCCATCCTCAAATTTGTTCTTAAAACTGAAACAGAAACTCAATTATCTATATTCACTTTCAAACATGTAACGTAAACATAGTTTATACAACAAACAGACAGGTTTCGAGAATACTTGGACTGATTGCTCGATTGTCGTGTCTATGTTAAATGATTCAAACTTCTAGATTGGTCCTCGTCAATTCAAGCCCCGTGTCACCTAGACGAGATATTTATCTACCAGCTAAAGAACCAGCTTAACCCATAGCACTTCTTTGTGCTGCTTAATTGGTGTGAGACGTGGTCACCAAGAACAGAGGATATTTCTAGGTTACTAGTAATTGACCACAGATGTCTTCGAAGCACCTATGATGTATTTTGGGATAACTGACTGAGAAATCGTGGGGTTATGTGTAGGCTACCAGGCAAGATGGTAAACCCATCGATGAGGTAGTGAAATTCCACAGATTGAGGTGATTGCAACACACTTTACGTATACCTAGCCACCACCTACCTCGGTGAGTGATTTTATCTGACGCAAGAGTAGACTGAGAGAAAGCTAAGGCCCACCACAAGGCGTAGCACACTTCTACGAAGTCATTGACAACTGGGACTGAGTTATGTTGAAGGGTTTAGGATACTTGGTTGGAACCTATGCGATCACTATGTTAATGCAGTATGGCGACTCGAACCGATGCACTGACGTACCAGGTATTGCGTCTCACAATACCGACTAGCTGACAGCCCTATTTAAAGGAGGCAAAACTGTAGATGAACATTTATATATCCACCAACAATCGATCCACTAGACCTTAAACACATGATTCGAAAAGTAATCCAAAATCATACTCAAAAACATGCGATTTTCTTATCACATTGATGGGCTGGTTCGAATATGTTGAACTAGGCAGTAGTTGATATAAGTTAATAAATAACTAAATGGACATATATAATCTGAAACATCAGATCAATCAACTCGACTAACTAACAACATAAATTACTGAGTTGTATATCTGCCTGTTTCTGACAGTCTTCATATTATGTGTATTACGTTGGAGCCTCTGAAAATTTCTAGCTGATATTTAGGCCTGATGAACAACAGGAATCCATGTTGTCGAGTGTCGAGAAACTGCCATTGAAACCTACTGATAGGCCTCGATCGCCTTTTGAAAGACAAATGAGCCTCGATAGGCCAATCAATGCAGAGCTCGGTACAAATATGCATGTATATACTCAAAATACAAAAGTCTCCATATGATTTTAGCGTTGCAATGTTTCGTGTGTTTCACCAATCTGCAAATGACTAGCAGACAACCTACACTCCTAGACTTCAAAAAATAAAATCGAATTTTCTGAGTTTGTAGACTATTTCAATGTTTTCCGACAGATAATGTAGATCTGAGGCAAGGCTCCGACCGTGTTGTGTGTGCGTTGTGTACTAGGTGAGCAGGCAGAGTAGTGTGAGTGGAGTCGTCTGCAAATTAGAGAAACAGGAACGAAATGTGAGTTGACGACCCAGCAAGCACACACAATGCACTTACTTTCAATAAGAACTCTAACGAACAATAATCAGTAAGAACACAAGCCTCAGATTAATACAATTTGGGAGTCGAAACTAGTAGCCGATAGTTTAAACTGCTACAATGCACTTTACTTGATTCGGTCGGGCAGCGAGGTTGGATTACTGGTTCATATAAAACGAAGCGTTAAACAGCTAATTCGTACTCTTTACTGTAGACGGTTGTGATGGCGGCAAGGTGCTTAACTCAGACAACCAGCATCTGTAGGGATGCTGCCTCCTAATAACGAAAAGAGGAGGACAGAAAGGGTCGACTTTGAAAGTTTCATACCTCACGTTACCCCTAAGGATTTCCGTCTACAGTAGTAAGGTCGTTTAAAGTGCGGAGTTAATCCGTCAAAATCTTTACATAAAGGACCATGAGCGACCAACCTCAAGCAGTTGTTCCTTGGGCTCTGCAGTCACTCTCCCAGGCCGCTAGGACCACCTCTAACTCAGTCTCCTCTTCAGACCCCTCAGAAAAATATATCCTTCCGCAATATGGGCAGCCGGGCAGTAGTGACCGCCTTCATACATCTGGGGGCACCCAGGGTCGACTTGTTCGCGATCCTATCTCTCCCTCACCTTTTAGTAATTCTCCTATCCTCACAGCTAATCTCTCCTGTGTGCCCTAATAACACGCACTCTCTAGGCTAGTGATTTAAACCTACGGAATATTATTCCTGGACTATTGAGATCACGCTTCAAACTACGTGTTAAGGCTTTTGATGTTCGAAACTGGTGTCATGTGCAACAATAGGTTTTTTAGCTGGGACTGTAGACTTCGTTTGTTAAATTTAGCCATAGACATGTCTTTATAGATGGCGCTTTCATCATCTGACTTTTCTGGGGTTGACCTCTGGCCAGTATATCCTTTTGTTGAAGGTTTTGTGAGAACTTTCACAAAAAACAGTAGTTATTGGAGTCGTTCTCATGACCTAGTTTCAAAACTGATAAATTCTGTTGATGTGTCCACTACTTATAGCAATTTTTTCCATAAACGTACCGTGTAATGTTAATGATCATATTCTTAAATAGCAGTTGAATAATGTGTTTGAAGTCTCAGTGCTTTTTCCGAAAAATTGGTTTCTTTTTGACACTCCAGTTTCGAATTGAAGTATACTTTACCGAAAAGTCGATCGAATCTGGAATAGTGGCTGTTGACTTCCTGGTAGAAATATGTTTTGCAACACCGGATCATTTGCACCTGATTAAGAGTTATTTTAAAAGCGTATCAGTATTTATTCGTTAAGATGCCTAAATTTGATAAAGATAACCTGTTCAAAGATGACACAGTTACTCGGTTTTCGACAACGCCTTTACACGTAACAACTTTACAATCTAAATGTATCAACCTAGTCAAGTCATAAATCAAAAATGAGTAGGTTCGAATACATATTCGGAAAGCTACGGATATATCGGGAAGTGTTTGGTCTAATGTGGCTGGCAGTCGAACGGCATACCCAATTGTGATCTGGTGACGATGAGTGACCAAGCGATTTCATCTAGTCCTTGTACAGCAAAACCAATGAGGTCAGGATTAATAACGAAGACATACAGGACTATTTGTTTTGAGAATTTATTTACCGCCACAAGTTAAAGTGATGTTGAAGAAATGAAGGGATTCTTCAAGTTACAGGAGAAAGTGATTGACTTTTAATGGGAGAAGTCATAAAGTACAGATAGAATTTAAATATGCGTAAATTTTAACGTGATTGATGAGTTTCTGAAGTCAAATGTGGTCCCAGTTTGCAATCCTAACTCTGAACCCCTTGGTAACGTCATTTTAAACACTTCTGAATATAGTATGCTTGTTTTGTTTACCGAGTAACACTCACTTAACTGACTTGGATTCAACAAGTGTCCTATTAAAATTGATCATCGAATTACTGGGTTTAAATGTTATTTTAGAGACCAGGGACATATGAAATCAGATAACATTCGCATCAATGGTCAATTCAAATTAGTTATCTGATAAAGATTATTTTGTAGCCCAAACACTCCTGGACGAACGCAGTAGCTATGTGCAGAGTGAAGTTCACATACGTCGCATAGTCATGGTTATAAGAGATTTAAACTCATGCATCCAGTCAGAATAAATTTGTTTTGGCCCTCCGACCTGACAGTCAACAGAGAACAGTAGCTACTAGTAAATGTGATTTACCTGGATGAATGTGACTTAAGCGGAGTACATACTTTCTAAAGAAGGGCGTGATATGACCGGTAAGTTCAAGTGAATCAAATGCTATCTTACGTTTAGTAGGTTGAGGATACAAGCCTGAACAAGCTATTATAATGAAGTCAAAGTTACCACCCAAATGTCCATGTCATCCAATGACTTATGTAAACTCAAGTATTATTTAGATTCAACAGCACAGCATTCCATGAAGTATTTGCCTTCTCTATTAAGATAGCTGACTGGTCAAGCGTTTAGAAGTACGTAAGTGATTGGATAACGAGACAAAACAGAACATGACATCATGACTACTGTTAGAAGTAATGACGATTACTTTGTTGAATCGAATTCAAGACGATGGCCGTGCAACATCGTGGGTCGGTGGAAGTTAGACATTAACGCCGATGGATGTTGGTTCAGTGGTCTAGAGGTTGAGTGGTTGCGCGCCAGACTGAACGTCATGGGCTCGAGTCCCGTGTGGAGACCGTGGATGCACACTGCTGAGGGGTCACGTACTATGACGAAACGGCCGTCCAGTGCTTCCAGGTTTCCAGTGGTTGTCGAACACTGATCGGTTCATGATCTCAATTGAAACTCAGCGATCTCCACAACCCTATACTGATGAATTCAAGACGAATGTTCCATCGAATTTTTATACTAATCAAATAACCCGTTTATCCAAGTTTATCCAAAATTTCAAACACTTTGAACTGTATAATAATGAATTCAATAAATATATTTTTCATCTGGAACAGGTTGCTATGATTGGAAGCTGGTGTTATGTAGGACAATGTATTTTTGTAGCTGGACCTCTCGAATTTTGTTTCGCCGACGTACTTTTTGTCTCTGTAACGCACACACAGGATCAATGTTCTTTCATCCGTTTGACGTCACTTTGTGATTACGAAGACTCGACACGACTATACGATTGACTCGAATAAATCACATATTCATCAACCATTGTTGGATGGACTCTAATCGGGTCTGTTACTCGTTCTGGAACATATATGTTGTTCCGGATCCTCCTCTAATTCCAGCATGTAGTTCTCTGTCTCAATGAACGTAGAGCGATTATGTGAACAAAATCCTCCAAAGTTTAATTTTATGACGAAATTGTAGTGACCTACTTTCCATTATACCAATCGAGAACACGATTGGTATAATGGAAGCATTTATTGGTATAGCCGATTTTACCGGTGATTGTTTTACTGTACCTGTTTGTTTAAGTGTACCAAGGAACACTCTCTTCCGCTGTTTTTGGTCTTGCACGAATTCCCGTACGCTCATTAGTCTCGCTTGTAGATTTTGGCATGAT